GGGGGGGGGGGCGGGGGCGTTACGAGAAGTACTCAAGCGGCCCGAAATGTGTGTGTGTGCCTCGCTGTTTGGCCGCAGTGCATACCATCGCTGTTTGGTTACAAGAATCAAGAGCACAGGTTTGTCATGTAACAACGCTCTGGGCTCATTGCTAGCTTATCCTGGACTGATATCTCTGGGTGATACAAGCGCCTTGCGTGAGACAAGAAACAAAAAGCAGAAAAAAGCAGCAGCAGCAGCAGCAGCAGCAGCAGCAGCAGCAGCAGCAGCAGCAGCAGCATCTGCACCAGGACCAGCGCCAGAGCTCTGCATGCATACCTAATCTGGTATAGCCACAGCTCCCTGTCGTCCTTGCTCTCTGCGAGGAACGTGAACGTCCGCCGCTCCGTCCCGTCCACCAGGTCGTCGCCCTTCTTCCACTTGTTCGTCTCCACGCGGAACGCCGACTCCTTGAAAGCCTGACCCATACGTCCCGTCCCACGTGCACAAAACCCGCGTGTCCCAAATTTCATTTTCAACCAGCGGGCGTGGACAACCCGGCGGGCGTTGAGGCGGGGGGAAATAGGGCGAATGGTTTGGTTTCGAGGCAAGTGCCGAACCACCATGTGTAGGTATGTACGAACAAGGTAAGTCTGCGGTTATACTGTAGCATACGGGAAAACAGGCAAAGCGCAGAAGGCCAGGCCACATCATGGTTCGCCACCTCGTCCCGTGGCGCTAACGGAAGACACCTACGGATCGACGGGCTGTAGGTACGGTATACGGAAGGGGCGCCGAACCAGAAAGACTGGTGGTCGCTAGACTGGTGGTAACAACAACAACAACAACAACAACAACAACGAACCTGTCCTAGCTCAGGCTCCGCCGTGGCGCCCGTCAGGTACACGATCTGGCTCGGCTCTGTGTCCTTGGGGTCGCTGAAAAGAGACAGGCTCTCCCCGGTGAGGATACAGCTCCGCTTCTTCCAGTCCACAGCCTCCGTCCACTTCTGTTGCACGGGGCGCTTGACCTTTCGCATTGCCCTCGACGTCACAGAGTTCTTCCGTCTCCGGGTGGACTCGCGCGCGTTTGTCGCCGCCTGGTTTAGTTTTTATTTGTTTTTTTTATATATATGTTGTGTTTCTCAAGCAGGTACATAGGTTGATGCTAAGCAAGCCTTTGTGTGCACATGTGTTTTGTGTGTGTTGATTTATATTATCGCTTGTGTGATTGCGGTGGTGTACTTGATTTGTTTTGCTTCTTCGTAAGCAGTTACATGGGTTGATGCCAAGCAAGTCTGCACGTGGTTTGTTGTGTTTTTTCATCGTTTTTTTCAATTTCAGGCAACAACGTCGTCCGACACGAGATGCAAGGACACATTGACGTGGTGTGGTTCGTGTGTCTCATGTTCGTCATCGATTTGTGCCAAAAACATAGTAATAAGCAGCAAACAATGAAATAAATCGCCGATATCAACGCCGCCGCCGCCGATACGGCTTACAATAGGTGCCGATCGAGTGTGTGTTTGGGCGTGCAAGATGGCACGAACAATAACCACGTTGGCGCTATATCACACGGCAGCTAACGCAGCCAAAAACTGTCCCCCTGTCTGCAGTGAAAACAAACAAAAAGGACGCCAAAAAAAACAAGGGACACAAACTCACCTGGGACATGGTGACCTTGTGCTTCATGACGGACAGCGTTCCTTCCTTATGCTTGTGGGATTTGTCGATGGTCTCGTTCTGTTACTCGAATCGTCGGGAGGGAAAGAGGGAGAGCGCGAGAGGGAGACGCAGATAGAGAGATAATTAGTGTACACACCCAAGCACAACAACTGCGTATCATGGGCACTACTTGGTCGTAAACTGCCCTCGACGGTCGTCCAACACCCATCCGGTTCGCTTTTCTTTTGTCCCCGGGAGGTATCTCTCGCGATCGAAACGCTTCACCAAAAAGGCCTCCAGGTCACTACCAACACCCCCAGAGCACCCCGTGCACGAGCAGGGAGGGAGCCGCATGGAAGGAGAAAAGGAAGGCCAACCTTGAACTCCTCGTGTCTCTTCTGGGTCTCGAGTCTATCCTTGAGCTTCTGGATGCTCGTCTTGAGGAGGTTGGTCTGGCTCTTGAGCATCTTGAGCTGCAGCATCTCCCTCATGAACCCGTGCGTGAACCTGGCCAAGAAAAAACAGACGAGACCAATCAAAATGTACTGCTTGACTGTAGGCGAAAATCGAAACCACATTTCCTTGACAGAGAATTGGCCTACAACGCAAAATCAATCTTCAACCTATTCCGAAAAAAAAACTCCAGAAGAGGCCAATTTGCAAAAGTCGAATTTATTTTTCGGAAAAAGATTTGCAAGTTTTTCGGAGTAATTTTTCGAAGGACGAAATCGAACAACTGCTGCGCTGCGACGGCTCTCACGTGTACACGACGTTAGGGATCCCCCACAGGTGTCGGGAGGAGTCCTTTCCCACCACCACCGACGATCCGCCACCGCCGCCCTTGCCGCTCTTGCCGTCACCGACCCTCCCGGACGATCTGTCGAGGGACATGCCCCGCGCTGCGGCGATGGAGGGTCGGGCCCACCCCTCCTCCTTGATCACAACTGATGCCGGGGCCCCCTGGACCTCAACCAAGAAGCTAAATATAAAAAAAAAGTTGTCCGGAGAGAGAGAGAGAGAGAGAAAGAGAGAGAGAGAGGGAGAGAGAGTGAGGCTATGGTTGTCATTGTGATCGTGGTCGCCCCTTTCTTCATTTTTTTTTGGGGGGGGGTCTTCTTTTTGCTCTCCTCTGCTTTTTGCTAATTTGTCGTAGTTCATCCGTATGGTCTTCCATTTTCCTTCCTCTCCTTGTCTATATTGTGCCGTTGTGCTTGCCTATCTTCCCGCCTCTTTTTCTTCTCTTCTCACCCTTTCTCCTCCAGTTCCCCGAGCTCCCTCAGCAGGCGGTCCTTGTGTCCCTTGATCGGGTACACCTCGTACAGGAACCAAGTCGAGAACTCCTTGCCGATCAGGCTGGCCACCTTGAGAGCCATCAGCTGGCAGCTGTTCAGCCGGTCCGTCTATTCCGTGTAAGAAAGCGACATCACGTACACCAAAACCCCGCAACGAAACGCATTTTGTTAAACAAAGGAGACCAAGGAGGGGCACAGCTGGGCGGGGGCGGTACTACTTTGTTGCTTGCTCGAGTCTTTCGACCATGGCTACAACTACGCGCCCCGATCGAGGCGCAGCACCGTTCATCCTCCTACTGAAAACACCGTGAACAAGGTTGGGTGCTGCTCCACATAACTCTACCGTACGCTGTACGTCCTTCACCCACGGTGATTCGTGGCCACCAACACAACGGGGAGTGGGGGGGGGGCACGCACATCAGAACACATACAAGAGCTTCACTCATGTCCACCCCCACCTCCGCACCCCGATATACACCACACCTGTGACGTCAGGAGAGCGTTCAGCTTCTCGGGCAGGAGGGAGCCGCTCAGACGGAAGCTTTCGGTCAGCGACACTTGCACGGGCACGTCGATGTTATTGTGCGAGCCACCCTGGTCCCCCTCCTCGGACATGATCTCCATGTACCGGAGCTGCTTCGGCTCCATCATCTGTTGAGACCACACGCAACACATTGTAAAGCTCACGGAGACTGACGTCGTTGCATTGGGTAGCGCGCGGTCGATGCTGAAAAAAAAGACGCGCACGTGAACGAGCTGCTGCGGTGACCTATGAAGAGCCGGGCGTGACGCACAAAGTGCCGAGCGTAGCTGCTCTGTCTGTCCCCGTCGTCTCAAAAGTACGAACAAAGGACAAGTCGGAAGACTCTGATAGAGGTATTTTGCTTTGCTTTCACACAAACGCGAGTGAGTGCGGCAGAATCAGAGCGAGATACAAGACTAACAGCGAGTTAATTTTAATTGGTCAGGCCGCGAGCGCGGTAGACAGGACGTTCTTCGCGAGAAGCCGTACCCAAGACACGACGACTCCTCCGCACCCGCAAGGCTACCTACGCCCAACAAGGAAACAAGTCCGAACAGCATGCACTGCACCGCAACACAGGCACACGTACGAGGCAACAAGCGTGTCTACAAAACAAAAAAACAAAAAAACGCGCTCGTTCGCTAAGTACAAAGCGCGCAAACGCACGACACAACAAAGCACGGCAGAGCAGACCAAAGCAAAGCAAGGCAGACCAAAGCAAAGCAGAAAAAACTAGTAAACTCAGAATAAAAGCAGCGACAACACCGCCACCACCGACCTTGAGGTGGGACACGAGCTCGGTGATCATGAGCGGGTTCCCGGTGCAGAGCTCCTCCATCAGCCCGAACAGGGAGTCGCTGATGTCCACCACGTTCGTGCCCAGCTTCTCCGACACGAGCTCCTCCACCTCCTCCGGCGGGGCCCCCGATATCTTCAAGAAGTGGACGTGGTCCAGCTGGGTCAGAGCCTGCGTTCGGTACCGTTGCGGAACGTTCCGAAGACCGATCGCGAAACGTTGAGGGGGTGATTGCGGAACATCGAGGGGGGGAGGGGGGGGTCACGAAATGAAAGCAC